GTCAGGTGGACGTTCTGGGTTTTTTATTGGGTTTGGTAATCCATGGTTAGTGTTTAATGGTTCAATATCCGTGCTGCCCATCCACCGCGGAGTGTCATAAAGACAGTGCTAATAAGAAGTGGATCTCCCACTTGCAGGTCATGGATACCCGGATGATACGCTCCAGCAGAAAAAAATGGAAATTACTTATTCCATCAGACGGACCCATGAGCCCCCGCCTTTTGGACATTGGACTCTAGGTAAATTTCAAAATAGAAAGTGTATATTTCCAAATTCAGGTGACATATTACTCTGTCAAGACCATATACAAAATATTTAGATAGTTTAATAAAATGAGCAACACAATAATGCCAATTCGGACCAATTCTATCACCCGTCTGGGTGAAGTAAGGGTCCTTCACCGACACATGGGCGCAACCCACGGCAAACAGGTTGCCCAATCTCGTCGCCTCTTGCTGGGTAACGCTAATAGCTCTTATAGATGTAGACATACCAACTCTTAGAATCCACTTACAGAATTTCAACTGTGCTCTTTCTACTTCTTCACTATAGTATATACCCCATAATTCTGAGTCATAACACACAATTGGCACGACCATACTATCAAATGTCTTCAGTAAATCCTTACATGGCACACCTCCATCCCTCTTAGAATACCCGTAAATTGACATCATAGCTTTGTTTGCTTGTGAGCGAAGACAAAATTGTGCCTTGCTCCAAGATAATGGAAAACAAGTCCTAAATATCTATATGAGGAAACAATATCAATTCGTTTTCCTTGAAAATACCATTTTTCCTATGATCGAAGCGGACCACCATTGTGAAATACCATTACTTTACTTTTATCCAAATTCATCTTCATTCCTGTTTGATCACAGATGATTACTGATCATTTGTATGATTAGAATCCTTTGTTAAAGATGCTATAGTACCTAATGAACATAATATCAAAACTGTCAATGACCTGTTTAATGCGGTTTATTATCATTTAATCTTGGATGGTTTAAAAGAAATAGACCCAATGCATAAACTCTGGTGTGCAAAGTGATGTCTTTTATATGCAGGTAGAATATGCATTCGTTATCATTGTCAAATTTGTTCATGTCACGATTTGGCTGTACTATTGCCAACATGTCGTTAAGTATTAAATCACTAACTCATTCACTAATTTGTTACAAACGTTTACAATCGACACACAAGAATGCCTATAAAAAACATACAGCAATACTGTTACATGTTAAATCCCAAGTTGAAACATTATCAGTCCGTTAAAGAACTAAGTGTAAAACCAGCAACCAATGAAGAGATGTGATGTAATTAACAATTGTATTCTAAAGTGAACGGAGTCACTACAGGGGCATTATAGTGGCAGTACTAAACGGAGCGGCAGTATGCCTTCAAGGGCAGTACATACACGAGGAATGATTATAGCAATAAAGACAGATATTGTCAACACGAGGAGTGATTAAAGCAATAATATTGTCAAATGTTGTCACACTCAGCTCGCTGCAACAATGGTCAAGTTTGTAAAACAGGCCGAGTAACCAAGGTGAGAATGATCTCCACACAAAGCTGGTTTTCTTGTAGAGATGTAATGTGAGATGAGAGCAAAGAGTTAACTCCCCTTACAAACCAAAGAAAAGCAGATCTGTCTACAGTGTTCTCTTCGCCACAGGATTGGCAATGGCTCTTCTTAGTTCATTCGTGAACAGTGTCAAGATATAGATCACAACAGGGACAATGTATTACACTTGGAACATTGTTACACAATGAATAACACTGACACGTACAAATACACAAGACTCATTAAGTGTACATATCCTCGGATAAGCCCTGGGGTTGGCCCGACGGCAGGTGCGAGCTAAACGACACGTCTAAGGAACGATTGTGTATTTAACTCAACTTCCCTGACTGTTAAAGATTTGCCATGATGTCATGTTCAATGTACAGATATGTTTTGTCATCATGTTTGTTTAGAAATAGACACTTCTTTGCTTCATGTTTCTTTCTGCCGCCATATCAATTGCTGTTCCTGAAATATGTATAATGTAAATATTCCACTTGTAGCGAAAAGAGAAGCACTTGGATATAAGTGTGTGTGTGTGTGTGTGTGTGTGTGTGTGTCTGCGTGTCTGTGTATCTCTATGTGCGTTTGTGTCTTCAGGGACGGTCAAGTTGACTGCACGGACGAAGACAATAATGACTACCCCACCACATCTGTAGTAGGGGAGTTAAACATCCAGTTTACAGGCTGTCGTTGAGACAAAGAAATTCGAAAGTGTTGTTGTTGTTTCCCTGACACGGTGGACACTCCTGTAGACGAGCTGACAAGTGGGTGTCCGATCGCTGACCACCTTGACCGCCATGCAGAGGGGGTTGGTTGTACAGATGACGCTACAGTGCAGGATCCCGAGGGGCAACGTCATCACGATGACGTCAGTCAGTGACAGATTTGTCTTATGGAAGTCAGCAGCTGTTGATCAAAAAGTTACAAATATTTTGTTAGACACTTAGTACCTTGTATACGCTACGTTCTCGTATCTTCATCACCCTAAAATACATAGGACCTCCTTATGCATCTTTGTAACCTAACAACCAAGAAGTCCTCCGATCACATATCATAGAACATGTTCGACGAATATTGCCTTTGTTTCCTGTCACTACCTGGCAACAGACACACGCCACTACAACATAGCCGATCTATAGTATGCTGTCTGGGGCAATGGTAGAACCTAGCGCCAACACTACCTTTAGTCTATGTTAAGGTATGAGAGCTACCGTCACCTTAGCGCTATGATCGCTTTGTACAACGGCACCTTTCTGTTTATACAGGGGCGGTGGGGTAGCCTAGTGGTTAAAGCGTTGGCTCGTCACGCAGAAGACCCGGGTTCGAATCCCCACATGGGTACAATGTTTGAAGCCCATTCCTGGTGTCCCCCGCCGTGATGTTGCTGGAATATTGCTAAAAGCGGCGTAAAACCAAACTCAGTCAGTCTGTTTATACAACCTGAGTAGTATTGCATTGGGGTATGTGTGCATGAGGGCACGCGTGTGTGTGTGTGCGTGCGTGTGTGAATGTGCGTGTGCGTGTGCTTGCGTACGAACTAGCATGTATATTTTTATTTTTACATCGAATGAAGAGATGCATTACCTTCGCTAAAGAGTGAGTGAGTTTAGTTTTACGCCGCTTTCAGCAATATTCCAGCAATATCACGGCGGGATCACCAGAAATGGGCTTCACACATTGTACCCATGTGGCTTCGCAAAAGAACACAGAGTAGTACATATTGTGGATGAAGACCTCTATATTTACTATTTTACTATTTCACATTTACATGCCAGTCTTTTTAGTTTATTCAACTGCAGTAAATCACGCAATGATTATTGACAACAAACGAATACAGATACTACAGATACAAAATATTTATAATATGAGTCGAAAAGGGAGAAACCCTAAAATTAAAAGCATCCAAAAATAATTATTAAGTTACTATCAAGCATGCAAATTTATTGTCTTTACAAACAACAATAAGTCAATTTTTTTTACAATTTGTTCCTATTTCCACGCGCGATTTTTAGGCTTGTACTTTAATACTTAATTATAAACTTTAAAGAGTACACTTCAATGTAAAAAATATTTATTCCCTGCAGGTGATTAGAAACAGTCAAACATGCAGTAGAAGTTTTCATACACTGTACTATGTATACTTATGTACATGTAACCATCTGTTGGGAAATAATGGGTAATGTTAAATGACTTATACCTTGCATGTTACCAGATGCAGTCAAACATATACAAGCTGTAATTCATATACCATACCAAACAATACTATGTACTTGTGCCTACATATGTATACGAGAGGTGTCCTAAAAGTAGTGGGACTCAGCTAGAAAATGATACAAATGCAGCTATTTTTATGTTTTATTTTTCGACATATTATCTGTCAACCAATGTTCCAGCCTTACGATCCTCATTTTGTTTGACTCTTTTATCTTGGTGCCCTCAAAACGGAAAATCTACAATAAATGCATCACAAACATAGGAAACAAAATATGCAAGAAACATTTTGTGTGTTTGAGAATCAAACGTAGATATTAAAGTGCACAAAAATGCAATTTGAAACTAAAATTGCTTGTTAAAGTGACTCCCCCCATGATGTTTACTGAAAGAGCTTGTTTTGGAGACACTACCCAAACCCCTCTCAGATGACGTAATCATAACGAAATAATTTATTCTAATGCCTTCACTTATTCCTAAATGATGCCAAGGGTTAAAACTAAATACTGAAAGGCCACACAAGTGTCATCTTTCAATATATTGTAAACAGGGCCAGCTTAAATATCTGGACAGTGTTTTTGAAAGATTAAAATGAGGGTGTCCTTTAAAAACAGCCCCGTCTAAACGTAAATAAAGCAATCGAAATATTTGAATGTTGATTATGATGGGAAGTCTTCAACTGGACATATTTTATATGATATTATCTGAGGGCATACCATTATCCAAGAGGTACAAAATGACAGATCGTTTTTCACTCTGCTATTTTTAAAGAAATATTCTACCACAATGTGCTGTGATGACTAATATCTCGTTAACCACGTTACCCTCATATGTGAAATTTTGGATATGACTTTGGTAATGATTCCTTCAAAATAAAATGGAAGCTTTTCCAACATTGGAGATCGAGAATATAGCTAGGCCCACTACTTTTGGGACACCCCTCGTATATAGCATCTGCAGAGAAATAATGGAAGATGGAACATCGTCTTAGGCCCTATGCCTACCAGATGTAGTCAACCTTGTAATCATTATTTATGTATTATGTACTTATACCTACTTATCTTTATGTAACATCTGCAGAGAAAGAATGGTTAATGTAAGACCGACTAAGGCCCTATGCCAAACCTGTAACTACTACCTATTTATGTATGCCTTGTATATGTAGACAATATCACACGCAGGCATAGGTATGTATTTTGTGACCTAAGCGGATCTAACTTACCATACGTGTCTGGCCCGTACACTGATACCTCGCACAATGTAAAGAGTTGTCCAGGATGTCGTATGTTCTTCCTTGACAGCCTCACGAACCTCCCAGACACCACAGAGTCACACTTGATGTCTTGAGTTGTGGGTCTGAAGACGCCCTTGTAGAAGTGACACAACCAGGGCAGGATCCTCACAGTGACAGCAGGGTCTTCGACGTACATCTCGATGGCGAAGTCGTTCAGTCTTTCAGCTGGAATTATCAGACGCCTGTGTTTTCTACAGAAATCGGTTATAGGGACTGATATGTTAGACTTTATGTAGTTGTTAGATGCCCGTAACCTGGTTTGTCTGTTCAGGAGTCGATTACTTGAGGCTGGAGATTTAATAATCGCGGCAATGGCACTTGCACCCTGTTCAAGTCGTGCCTGATATCGGAGTGTTTGGGGGGCAAAGCAACACTTCTAACGAGGTCATCAAAAACTAATTGTATCCATTTTTGTCGCAAATATAAACCTCATAATGATCCTGAATTATATTTAGATACCACACCTGTTAAAGTAGTAAAAGAAGCTAAATTCTTGGGTTGGGTCCTTTCGTACTTCTCCAATTGACAGTCTTTATATCGAGGCCGATGAGCCATCCTTAAAGCACTGCCGTATCAAATTATCTCTGCAGTATGTCACAAAACTTTATTTTAATCAGTCAAACCCTGCTTACAATTGCTTTTTTAACCCTCTTTACGAGGTTTTGTGTAACAACAAAAATCGTCACTTATTCCACCACTTGGGATAAGAATTAAACAATTCATCTCTCCTGCTGGCATTGAACTTAAAAATATATCTCCTTCCCGTCTTCTTTCTTTTCCTCCTTGGCAAATTGTGAGGCCACACGTTGACCTTACATTAACCACATTTAAAAAGTCTGAAACTAATTAATTACAATATAAACAAGAATATAATTAATTAAAAAGTAAATATAATACATACAAACCCTTATTTACAGATGGATCCAAGGATGGTGGTGCGGTGGCTTGTGCCACCGTCATTGGGATCCTGAACACTATCTTCTAGATTACCAGATGACAGTTCTATCTTCACAGCAGAAGCTAACGCAATACTAACAGCCTTAAAATATATTAATAACCACCCCAAATATAAACAATATATAATCTATTCAGATTCTCTTTCGTGCCTTCAGGCCATTTTCTTGTAAACATCCACTTTTAATATAAATTATTCCATTATATAACGATCTTGCTACTGGCCAATACGACATCGTCCTCTGTTGGTTGCCAAGTCACGTTGGCATTTCTGGTAACACAATGGCTGATCTTGCTGCCAAGGCAACACTCAACACATCTGTGACACCACTTCTGATCCCATATTCTGATTGCAAAGCCGTCATTAGATCTTATATCCGTGATCGAATACAGAAAAAGTAGGTATTAACAAATTACATGAAATAACACCCTATATTGGTTACACTTACTTGGGTTGTCAGTCCAGATTTGAGGAGGTCATTATGCGACGATGTCGCATTGGCCATTCACGTTAAGCTCACAAATATCTGTTTTGTATCCCTTGTGATGAGAGAGTCACAGTAAACATTGTCCTGCTTGAGTGTTTTGAATTATCCATCATAATTAATATTTCAATGCTAAAACTATCTTTTTAATACTGTTCAATTTCATTTAATTCTTGGTTTTCAAAACGAAATTGATTTAATTAATAAATTTTGATCAATATGTTCTGTAGATAGATGCATTTCAATGATTGGTAGTTTAGATTAGTAACTTAGATTGTCAGTGGCTGTACCCTCAAAGGGAGTCAAAGTACTGTAAAATTATTGTCCTCCTGAGAGGGTACGAAAGTCATCAAAACATTCAAAGTCAATTTAAACCTACTGCCATTTTAATCGTAGAATATATGTTCGTTTAATTTGAGGCTAGATTATCTAACACTGTTAATAGCTGAAGGGATGGTGTAAATCCAGCTAGGGTCCATGCAGGAAGCAAATGTACTTTAAGTCCCCATGGTCCCTCGTATGGTGATCTCCCTTCAGTTGTTGGCAATATATAGCCTGTTTTTACCTTGTATTGTCATATATATTTAAACTGTTTTAGATTTAATTACTAGTTTTAAATCTCTGATAATCAAGTTATTTTACAGTCCTTCGTTGACATGTTCTTACAATTTACCATTACTTGCTATCTATAAAATGCATTGTTCTCGTCACGATATGGTTGAAATATTGCCGATGTGACGATACATTTCAACTCACTCACTCTAACGTGGTCACAGAATAATACACGAAATGATGGATGCATTTACAAACCATAGTTTTGCACACATCGACCTGGAGACACAATCATCATAGCAGAGACACCATCATGAACACAAGGACACACAGAGACAGACACGCACCCCACTACTGAGAGGTTCAACAAACCTACAGAGACACGGCCACAGGAAGAGCCACAAGCACAGGGATAGAGAAACAAACACAGGGACACGATCGCCGGCACAGAGACATACGAGTAGTAGCCAGTACAAAGACACAGGTCCAAACATAGCAACTGAGCCAACAACACAGGGACACGATCGCCGGCACAGAGACGCACCAACCTATACATGAACAGAGTAACAAACACAAGGACACAAGCACCAACCACTGTCACAATCAAAATATAGTGAATGTTGTAAAATGTGAATCACCAAAGGCTGAAGTTGCTGCTCAACATGAAAGGAAAGTTTACTCTTGTAACGTTGAAATCATCCCTATTGTCATGAAGCCTTGTGGAGAGTGTTTTGCCACAACAAAGGACATCAGCAAGGGTCTCAATATCTAATGTATGGCCACAATGTCTAGCGGAGGACACAACCATCAACACAAGTGTTAGAACCAACCAGACAAAGGCACAAACATCAGAGCACACAACCATCAACACAAGTGTTACAACCAACCATACAAAGACGCAAACATCAAAGTGCACAACCAACCACATAGGGAACAATCCACACAAATATATCCCAACACAGGATATTACATGGCCGGTTTGTTAAACCCCATCATCACAGCAAATAATTTGGGCACTCACCACAGCAGTCTGAACGACCAACGATCTGAACTCTAGATATCCTGTAGACGGCCTGTAGGTCCACCTGCCACCAGGGATTCAGATCATCATGGTCCATGCTATGACATGTCTGGTCGTTAAAAACTCCCGAAGGTGACCCGTCAACAACATTTGACGCCCATATTTCAAACGACACCGTGTAAGTTGAACTGGCATTAGCTGGTTTCCTCAAAGCCAAGTTTCGTGCAGTGTCAACTACTGAAACAAGGGTTCATCAGTGAGTAATTTCGTGCTTTCAAGTTTACACAGATTCCCGAACGTTGGTTGGTTGAAAGAGCGGTCATGTGATCTAAATTTCAAGGTTCATTACTCTTGAACCCCTCTAATCGTTCATACTTGTGTAAACACCGTTCATACGTGTGTGAACGGTTTTCGCTTTCGGTTTCAAGGACCCCAATAATTGGTGATACCAATTTCGCGAACGAATCTGTTTCAAGTCACCCCAAGTTTGGCAATGTCACTACCAAACGGATTGCCGAACATTGTTCCTTTCACAGGAGTTTAATGTCTCGCAGTTTGCGGGTTCATCCGGCGGTTTTCTGCCCCGAGGTCTGTTTAACAACTGCTCAATAAATTTCACAATGAACAATCACAAATAAATAGAATACAACAGGATACGTGTAAATGTGTCGGGGTTACTGTTGTCTGGAGTGTGTAAATATGTCGGGGTGACGGTAGTATGAAGTGTGTAAATGTGTCGGGGTTACTGTTGTCTGGAGTGTGTAAATATGTCGGGGTTACTGTTGTCTGGAGTGTGTAAATGTGTCGGGGTTACTGTTGTCTGGAGTGTGTAAATGTGTCGGGGTTACTGTTGTCTGGAGTGTGTGAATGTGTCGGGGTTACTGTTGTCTGGAGTGTGTAAATATGTCGGGGTTACTGTTGTCTGGAGTGTGTGAATGTGTCGGGGTTACTGTTGTCTGTGAATATGTCGGGGTTACGGAGTCTGAAGTGTGTAAATGTGTCAGGGTTACTATTGTCTGGTCTGGAGTGTGTGAATGTGTAAAATGTGTCGGGGTTACTGTTGTCTGGGTTACTGTTGTCTGGTCTGGGTGTGTGAATGTGTCGGGGTTACTGTTGTCTGGAGTGTGTGAATGTGTCGGGGTTACTGTTGTCTGGAGTGTGTGAATATGTCGGGGTTACTGTTGTCTGGAGTGTGTGAATGTGTCGGGGTTACTGTTGTCTGGAGTGTGTGAATGTGTCGGTTACTGTTGTCTGGAGTGTGTGAATATGTCGGGGTTACTGTTGTCTGGAGTGTGTGAATATGTCGGGGTTACTGTTGTCTGGAGTGTGTGAATGTGTCGGGGTTACTGTTGTCTGGAGTGTGTGAATATGTCGGGAGTACTGTTGTCTGGAGTGTGTGAATGTGTCGGGGTTACTGTTGTCTGGAGTGTGTGAATATGTCGGGGTTACTGTTGTCTGGAGTGTGTGAATGTGTCGGGGTTACTGTTGTCTGGAGTGTGTGAATGTGTCGGGGTTACTGTTGTCTGGAGTGTGTAAATGTTGTTACTGTTGTCTGGAGTGTGTGAATGTGTCGGGGTTACTGTTGTCTGGAGTGTGTGAATATGTCGGGGTTACTGTTGTCTGGAGTGTGTAAATGTGTCGGGGTTACTGTTGTCTGGAGTGTGTGAATGTGTCGGGGTTACTGGAGTGTGTGAATATGTCTGGACTGGAGTGTGTGAATATGTCGGGGTTACTGTTGTCTGGAGTGTGTGAATGTGTCGGGGTTACTGTTGTCTGGAGTGTGTGAATGTGTCGGGGTTACTGTTGTCTGGAGTGTGTGAATGTGTCGGGGTTACTGTTGTCTGGAGTGTGTGAATATGTCGGGGTTACTGTTGTCTGGAGTGTGTAAATGTGTCGGGGTTACTGTTGTCTGGAGTGTGTGAATGTGTGGGGGTTACTGAATGTCTGAAGTGTGTCAGGGTTACTGTTGTCTGGAGTGTGTATAATATTTTATGGACGACTGGCTCACTCCTGAAAACATGTGGCTCTCAACAAGCGGTGTGTTGCTGGATGTGACAGTTCTGGTTCATATGTTATGCCTTATCAATGGTCAATATCAAGTGACCATATTTCCGGACTTCGTCATCAAAGGAGGAAGGAAGATGTTTGATCCTGATCGCTGGAATGGCAAGATGGGGTTTGATAAACCCAGTATCATCCAGTACGTGAAGAAAACCGGTGCAAGGTGTGGCCGCTGGAACAAAGGCGATTCGGATGTCTTTGGGAAGGTACTTGGTGCGATCATATACTCACAGGAACAAATAACACAGGAACATTCAAGTGTTCCTTTAATATATTCCTGTTTTCATCACCAGCCTTGAATAGCATTGTTGGGGGAAATCTGAGAATAAATAAAGGAATACTGCCATGAAGTGGCGTTCCCTTATTTCTTTCCCTCAGTGATTTAAGTGCTATAGATTGAAATACTCATGGTAGGGAGGGACATTCTTACCTTTTTTCAGGACTCCTAAAAATGTAAAATAAATGATGTTCCGTGATCCAGTCTCATAATTGTGACTGGTCTGTTTTTGATCAGTATGGTTACACGTGAAGATCCGGGGTTAGAATTGATCTTCAGTAACCCATGCTTGCCATAAGAGGCGACAAACTGGGTTGACACATGTCATCGTATCCCAATTGCGTATTTCGATGCTAATGGCGTTGATCACTGGGTGTCTGGTCAAGACTCGATTATTTACAGACTGCAGCCATATAGCTGGAATATTGCTGAATGTGGCGTAAACCTAAACTTACTCACGCACTCACTCACTTTAATCAGTATGGTTCTCTGTCACTGATGTGTCTCCAAGGTCTCTTTTATGGCGATCTACGTTCAGTTGCTGGCGATCTATAACCCGTTTTTTTATATTATATTATTCTCTTCAATGATATCTTTTCTATAACACGCTAGTTTTACCTTAAGATTTGTGATACTGTAGTAGTTTTACTGTCCATTGACGACTGGTTTTAATCTTTAAAATGTATTCATCTTTAATTTCTAAATTGTTCTCGTCACGATATTGTTGAAATGTTGCCGATGTGACGTTAAATATTAACTCACTCACTCACACTGTCATTGATGTGTGATATTTGCACAAGCTGCTACTGTTGTACCAAAAGTAGTGGGCCTCAGCTAGAAAATGATACAAATGCAGCTATTTTTATGTTTTATTTTTCGGCATATTATCTGTCAACCTCAAGCAAATTGCCTTTGTCATGTTCCAGCCTCACGATCCTTATTTTGTTTGACTCTTTATCTTGGTACCCTCCAAAAAACGGAAAATCTGCAATAAATGCATCACAAACTGTAGGAAACAAAATATACAAGAAACATTTTGTGTGTTTGAGATAGGCAGAAGTCCTCTAGAATCAAACGTAGATATTAAAGTGCATAAAAATGCAATTTGAAACTAAAATTGCTTGTTAAACCCACCCACCCACCCACTCACTCACTCACTCACTCGCATCAATCCGATGTACGCAGGCTCATTTTGGCATGCCTCTGATGAGCAAAATATACTGGACAAAAAGTAGTTAGGAATATACGTAAAGTTTGAAATTATGAATAATGATCTATTCATTCATTGACACTCTGATAAAATATAAAATCATAAAAATCCCAATATCCCTATCTTACTTTGTCCAGTATAGTTTTGTTTACGTGTCCAGGCACCAGAGGACCCTCACCGGAAGGGCTATGCCGATCCAGCTTACTTCCGGAATGCACAGGTTCAGCAGAGTATAGTTTCTGGGTATACAGACAACAGAGATGGATACGGACGCGCCCCTGGGAGGGAAATCATGATGGATCTTAATGGTAAGACCAGTGTATATGTGAGTGAATTGGTGAGTGAGTGAGTATGGTTTTACCCCGCTTTTAGCAATATCCCAAAGATGGGCTTCACTCATTGTACTCATGTGGGGAATCGAACCCGTGTTTTCGGTATGACGCGCGAACGCTTTACCCACTAGGTTAAACCATCGCCCCTATGTTGAAAAGAGTGAGTCAGCTTTTAACAATACAAAATTAACCTTTATTTCTAAACATGAAGTGGAATTATTAGGCATACTATTTGAAAAATTTAAAATGTGAAATGTCGGTTTGTTGCTGTACGCTTCGGTGATCGAATCCAAACCGAAAGATGTACAGATATTGTTTTTACCTCAATTAAATGTTTTTGGACACCTGTCACACCAGACGGCTATGTGCAATGTCACGTTAGAGTGAGTGGGTTTAGTTTTACAGCTATATGGCGGCGGTCTGTAAATAATCGAGCCTGGACCAGACAAACCAGTGATCATCAACATGAGCATCGATCTACGCATTTTGGATACGATGACATGCGTCAACTAAGTCACCGAATCTGGCCACCAGATCCCGTTAGTCGCTTCTTACGGCAAGTATGGGTTACTGAAGATCAGTTCTAACCGGGATCTTCACTGATCGCCACGCTAGAAGTCGGAACAAAGCAGGACAATGTGGCACGAGCCCTTAACGTTTCACCATCAGTAATCAGCAGATTACAATCACGTTAAGGACAGATGTCAATATGCTCGACCAAGATCGATCTTTGTCGCACTCAAGCTACTGTTTCACCAAGCCGTTGTAAAAGTTCCTCTCAAATTGGAGATGAGCTTCACAGAGCTTCATGTTGGAAGTCGATTCGCAACCGGCTACACAGATGGAACCTGTATGCCCGACGTCCACGTGGTTTCCAACGAATGACAGAATGCCACATTCCTGCAATACGTAGTTCGTGTCAAGAGCGGCAGAGTTGGGCCAATCATCTTTGGGCAAACGTTATGCTTTCAGATGAATTTACGTTTCCTATGGGCTTCCTTTACAGGCGTACAGAGTGTGGCGTAGACAGAAGAATCGTCGGGTGTGGGGAATGGGGATGGGGGTGTTGGGTGGTTCAGTATTATTAACCTGGGCAGTACAACCGTGACAACAACCTGAACAAAAATATAGTTAGGCCGACTACTTTTGGGACACCCCTCGTATAAGAACCAACTCGAGGATGATACAAATAGTAAACCGTAACGGCCCGCAAACCATCAGAAGTTAAACAAAACTCGCCGTTATACACACTGGTGTTCATTTACGTGAGCACTTCGAAGTACAACACACTCACGTCAAAAAACTGTGATGTACAACGTTCTAGCCATAACACCCCCGATGCAGCGTATACTCACGTACATCTACCTGGGTGTATAACAGAGGTAGCATACTTGGGAGTACAACACACTCACGTCAATAAACTGTGATGTACAACGTTCTAGCCATAACACCCCCGATGCAGCGTATACTCACGTACATCTACCTGGGTGTATAACAGAGGTAGCATACTTGGGAGTACAACACACTCACGTCAATAAACTGTGATGTACAACGTTCTAGCTATAACACCCCCGATGCAGCGTATACTCACGTACATCTACCTGGGTGTATAACAGAGGTAGCATACTTGGGAGAACAACACACTCATGTTAGTATACTTAGAATTACACTGCCCTCGGGTCATCATACCCCCGATGCAGCGTATACTCACGTACATCTACCTGGGTGTATAACAGAGGTAGCATACTTGGGAGAACAACACACTCATGTTAGTAGACTTAGAATTACACTGCCCTCGGGTCATCATACCCTCGAGGCAGAACACTCCGAAGTACAGAATGTCTACGTCGTTTGTATTGATGTTCGATTTATGTGGAGTAGGGTGGTGGTTAAAACTCGTCACTCGTCACGCCGAAGACCCGGCTTCGAATTCCCACATGGGTACAATGTATAAAGCCCATTTCTGGTGTCTCCCGTCGTGATATTGCTGGAATATTGCTAAAAGCGGCGTAAAACTAAACTCACTCACTCACTCACTTCAGTTGTGCGTCAAGCCAAGCAGGTGACATCATCAGTACCTTAATATGACATGGAAGATAACTGGGTATGAAAGCAAGCCAGTTCATGAAGACACCCGTGAAGATCCGGGTTAGAATTGGTTTTCAGCAACCCATGCATGTGGTAAGAGGTGACTAACGGGATCGGGTCGCTGACTTGGTTGACAGTCAGGCTCGCTGACATGGATGGCACATGTCATCGTAACCCAGTTGTGAGAATCGGTGCTGATCATGTCAATCAACGGCCTGAGTGTTTTCAGACCGGCGTTATATAGCTGGAATACTGCTGGGTGCGGCGTTAAACAACGAAACGATAAACAAACAAACACTGCCTCTCTCACTAATGTCCTTGTGTTTGCACTCACTCACTCACCGACTCACCCACACACCCACACACCCACCCACTCGCCCACACACACACACACCCAAAACCCACCCACCCACTCACTCACTCACTCACCACTCACTCACTCACCCACCCACCCACCCACTCACTCACTCACTCGCATCAGCCCACTCCGATGTACGCAGGCTCATTTTGGCATGCCTCTGATGAGCAAAATATACTGGACAAAAGTAGTTACGAATATACGTAAAGTTTGAAATTATGAATAATGATCTATTCATTCATTGACACACTGATAAAATATAAAATCATAAAAATACCAATATCCCCATCTTACTTTGTCCAGTATAGTTATGTTTACGTGTCCAGGCACCAGAGGACCCTCACCGGAAGGGCTATGCCGATCCAGCTTACTTCCGGAATGCACAGGTTCAGCAGAGTATAGTTTCTGGGTATACGGACAACAGAGCTGGATACGGGCGCGCCCCTGGGAGGGAAATCATGATGGATCTTAATGGTAAGACCAGTGTATATGTGAGTGAGTTGGTGAGTGAGTGAGTATGATTTTACCCCGCTTTTATCAATATCCCAAAGATGGGCTTCACTCATTGTACTCATGTGGGGAATCGAACCCGTGTCTTCGGTATGACGCGCGAACGCTTTACCCACTAGGTTAAACGACCGCCCCCAAGAGTGATTCAGCTTTTAACAATACAAAATTAACCTTTATTTCTAAACATGAAGTGGAATTATAAGGTATACTATTTGACAAATTTAAAATGTGAAATTATGGTTTGTTGATGTACGCTTAGGTGATCGAATCCAAACCGAAAGATGTACAGATATTGTTTTTACCTCAATTAAATGTTTTTGGACACCTGTCACACTAGGACGGCTATGTGCAATGTCACGTGAGAGTGAGTGAATTTAGTTTTACAGCTATATGGCGGCGGTCTGTAAATAATCGAACCTGGACCAGACAAACCAGTGACCATAAACATCAGCATCGATCTACGCAATTGGGATACGATGACATGCGTCAACCAAGTCACCGAATCTGGCCACCAGATCCCGTTAGTCGCTTCTTACGACAAGTATGGGTTACTGAAGATCAGTTCTAACCGGGATCTTCGCTGATCGCCACGCTAGAAGTCGGAACAAGGCAGGACAATGTGGCACGAGGCCTTAACGTTTCATCATCAGTAATCTGCGGATTACAATCACGTTAAGGACAGATGTCAATATGCTCGACCAAGAGCGATCTTTGTCGCACACAAGCTACTGTTTTACCAAGCCGTTGGAAAAGTTCCTTGGCAAATCATCTAATAAAATTGTTCGCCTAATGCATATATGACTATTCCGTTATTTGTCTCATTAAATATAAAGACCATCAATAGTTGTGACACCTTCTTACTGACTATACCCTACTTTTCAAATAACATATTTCTGCGATAACTTTTAATCTAAAACGTAAGTGGTCAAGATGGGACAGTATTGCTCAAACAGGATATATCTTCAGCATTTTTACCTTTAATCAGGACCATTGGCCTGAACTCGAGATGCAACTCCAGCACATCTTTTGGAAAAATCGCATTTACAAATAGGATGCAGATATCTCGGATATATGAAATGTGTTGATATACTATCAGATGCAGAATTCAGAAAATGTTTCAAAACTACAATTATCTAAAGGCATCACTGCTTCTCCCTATAGCCAGAACCTGGCCACACTGGATGGACACATCTCAACACAAAGGCCACTTCCCTAACAACATAGATGCTGCTGCTGACATGGCTACTATGCTGCTGAAGGCCGTCCATGATGGAACCAAGGGGGACGAGCCACCATATTTTGAACCTATCAACGAAGTCGACGGTATGTGGAAGTACAACGTTAACTGGACACAAATTACTACCTACCACAAGTCCGTCAATGCAAAAGTCAAGGCCATTTTACCACATGTGAAAGTTGGAGGTCCGGCATATTCTGGTGGCATTGCGGGTTTGGACAAACACGACTTCAAGGTCTGGGGAAATCTCATGGAGTTTATGGACATGGCTCTCAAGCACCTTGACTTCATCTCATTTCATCCTTTCAGTCATATGCAAATCACAGGACAATCATATTCCTTCCAGGGTCCTACTGAAGGTCGCTTTGTGGGGATAATAGATCTAATTGAAAGTTATGCCCATTTGAAAACTGGCAAGGATATTCCCATCATGAGCTCAGCCTATGGTTTGGGCGGAATATCAGGAGTAGACATGCAGAAGCCTAACGCACTGATCGATTATGGATATGTCTACCTACAGAATGCAGAAATGTTTACAATGCTGAATCATCGTGGTGTTGTCGACAGAGCTGTGGTTTTCGACACCGGATATAGAGACGTTTTCGGACAAAGCAGCATTGCTCACAGTCTCCTTGACAAAAACAACCACGAGAGGGCCCCAGCTGAGGCGTTCCACTTCTGGCAGGTGCTTTCAAATCGAATGACGTATCTCAGAACAGATAGTCAGTACCATGGAGCTGAGAGAGACGTGGCATCTCACGCTTTGGTGGATCAAACTTCTAAAACTGTGGTACTTCTCCTGCACAACTTTGACAAGCAGCAGACAAAGGTCAAGGTTCAGTTCGGTCATAGATGGATGAATCCGTCCTCTGCAATCATGTCTTGTGTCCACTTGAACGCCCAAAAGGTTACCGTACGAGACAAGGAATCAACGGTTCATCTCAACAACGGTGTCGTCACTCTTCCCACTGAAGCAAGCTGCTATTTCAAGTTCCACTCTGCCTACGACTTTGCTCACAGCAAGACCATCACAGAAACTGTTTACTATGGGCCAGATGTTGCTAAGCCAATACACCAAAACGTTGTCACCACAAACATCAATGTGGGCCATGTGAGCAATGTCCAGTACGCGTATCTACGAGTCTGCATCAGCCTCAGTGACAAGAGCGGTAATCCTAAACCAACATCGGTACAGCTCAACGGCAAATCTCTCACTTCCTATTACTCCCTTCACCAGCAAAACGAGAGCAATTACGAAACAACATGGATGACGACACAATATCTAGTTCCGGGCTCATACCTCAAGCAGAACCAAAATGAAGTTAAGCTCCATTTTGCCAAAACAGGGGGGCGAGTGATAAGTGTCGTTGCTGTTGTTGGAAGTTACTAAATAAGCACTTCTTACTTGTACATTTGCGTCCATAAAGAATGCAATGCACTGAATAGTGTCTTTAGTTTGTTTTTTGTGGAACAGCAATCACCGGCGCAACAAATCCCCCAGGCTTACAATGAGCCTATGATTTGGGTTTCGAATTTCACATTAGACCTGACTGTGTAAACTGAGGTTGAAGGGATGTGAAATACTGAAATAGTGTCGAAGCACCTTACTTTATGATAACTATAGATCATGTTATGCCAGTTATGCGTTACTGAGAAAATGGTAATTACAGTTTTGGACATCACACTATTGTTTCCTTTACAGAATACGTTTATTCGAAACAATCACTAAGCGTGTAAGATTTATAGGAATCAAATTTGAGTGAGTAGTTTAACCTACTCTAATTGATTACCTGTACCCATTCATGACGTTTTTAAATTTCTTGCTTGGGATTGTCAGGTCGACGCCATTCAAAATTGTCTATTCTATTAAGTAGTTTCACTTCTCTTAATTGCTTGGCTTCATCTAACCTTGATCGTTTAATATTTCCTGCTTGGGATTTCCAATCTTGTGTCAATCCCTTTTTGGTGTATTTACCCGACTAACAAAGATCGTTGTAGCAAGAAGGCCATGAAGCTTTACATTCATTCTCCCGCATACACCTGTGCTAGGTGCTCAGTGGCAACTATCGGCATATGCCCATACAGTTCACCAGCCGTGTGGTTGCTTAGTAACGATGAGGAGGGACAACACAGAAAGGGCCACTATGTCTGGCTGCTATTTACAGACCCCTAACAAAGCAAACAGAATACTTGCTCATTTACACTCTTTTACGACGAGTTTTCAAAACTGCTAGAACGTCAGGTCAGTTCCAATGACCATCTAATACTTACTGGTGATTTCAACATTCATGTCAGTGATGTGAACAACAGGAGTGCACCGCAGTTTCTGGATGTACTGTCTTCCTTTGGCCTTGAGCAACATGTTGCTTCCTCTACACTAAAATGGGGGAATATTCTCGATCTTGTGATCACAAAGTCGCCGGATGCCATAATTTCGTCTATATCTGTTATTGATCACCAAATATCAGATCACAGTTCTATTTTCTGTAGTCTGCCTTGTACAAAACCCCAAAGCACGAGTAAAGAAATCACCTACAGGAAAATCAAAGAAATATCCACAACAGTGTTCACTGAGGATGTTACTTGTTTGGACTTAACTGCAAAGTTAGCTGAGCATGAAAGTGTTGACTGTAAAGTTAAACAGCTAAATTACTGTCTGACATCAGTGCTCAGTACCTAACAACACATGGATAACGACGGAAGTTCATAAAGCTAAACATGCCAGAAGACGAGCTGAAAAACGCTGAAGAAGGCGCAAATTAGGAATAGACAGACAAGTGTACAGGAGAGAAATAAGGTCACACAGCTTATACACCATGACATATTGCTTCAGAGATTGGAACAAACAGTTGGTATTGGCGGCTCTGCACTTCAGTGGTTCAGATCGTACCTCACTGACAGATACCTTCAAGTTAAAATTGATGGATCCAGATCACAAGAATGTGATCTGCGTTGTGCTGTCCCACAAGGCTCTGCCCTTGTTCCTCTCCCTTTTATCATTTACATACTGCCTATAAGAAATATCATCCGACAGCACAATGTCAACTTCCATGGATACGCAGACGACAACCAGTTTTCAGTATATAGGAACAAAACCTACCCAAGTAGTTACTTCCAAGTTACAGCTTGAACATTAGTATCAAATTCAACAGTTCCAAAACAGAATTCATGACTATTAGCTCTGGAGCATTACAGTCCAAATCCAAGATGTAACTCTTAAAGAACCACTAAACTTTGTTTTTTGTTACTCTTTTAACCATTACATATGAAAGATTTGTGGTTAGTCTTATGCGGAACACCAAATTTATTCTTTAAAAACTTGTGGTTATTTAATACCGAGCGATTAAAATTTGCCAAAAAGTCGCCTGCTTCCCTCTCGCCCGCCAACGAAACCACAGACAGGTTACGTAACTCTGTCGCCAGAGCACTGCAGTGACGTCATATGAGGAACGATTTTCAGTTAGTTGTATAGAAAATGTGTAGCACGCTCATCATTTTGGTGATTTCTCGACATCAACGACGACATGCTGAATCGTTGCTTTGTCGTCAATTGCTCCTAGGGGTCGGGCGATGGTGTCCCCATGCACAGATTTCCACAGGACCCCGCAGTTCGTGCTAAATGGGTTATGTTTGTGAGTGCGAAGCGAGAGTTGTGGAAGCCTGAAACGATATCTTACTTGTGTTCAGATCGCTTCACGGAAGTTAAAGAATCAAAACTACTTACTAGTTGTAGTAAAATATGCATATGATTGATGACCATAAAGATTTTCTATGACACAACTTGTAACATAACGATTTCTTCCTAGGAAGTGAGGTTGTGGTCGAAGTAACAATAATATTGTAAGTAGTATTATATTGACACCCACCTCGCTGCCACGAGAGAAATTGTTATGTTTTACGCTTTGTCATGCAAAATCCTATTGGCCATCAATAAAATACATATTTTACTACCAGTAGAAAGTAGTTTTGATTTTGTAACTCGGTGGAAACAAACCTAAATACCATTTATCCTCAGACTGGCGGATGTTCCCGACAGGGCGCCGCCATTTTTAAAAATAAAAAAATCTGTGAGAATTAAGGAGATTATAGTTTGTTTTCATCAAGTTAGAAAATCAAGACTACTTTCTACTCGTAGTTAAATATGTATTGGAATCATAACCAAACGGATTTTGCATGACACAACTTATAACATAACGATTTCTTCCACGGAAGCGAGGTGGGGGTCGAAGTCACAATACTACGCGATAAATTTCTTGCTACATTCCCATGGTTAATGTCCACTCACCAGTATGTAGATACTAGTCAATGTGCGTCTTTATATTTGGTCTTATAATCCTAATTAGTTTATTATCATACTTGTATGCATTTTGAAACTAAATAAAAAAGCAGACGATCTGCTGATACTTATAGTGAAGTTATAACAGAACTGTAATATCTAGACATTTTATAGTTTGCCAATGTGAATCATAATTCGCAAACACACCCTAGTGCATGTTGTCTGTCTCATTACACTTCACGGCGAAAACAATGATTCTGTTGAATGCTACGACAAATGAATAAAAACAAAATGCAAATATTAAAATTAAAACAGATTAAAGTTATAGGAACAATATCAGGCCATTACCTTGTTCGAGGAATGTATCCATCAATATCCACAAAACTGTTCCAAATGATGTGTCTTTTAACAGTTTAATATACGAAAAAGTGATAAATCTTTTCAGGTATTGATGTATAGTCTCATTGGTCACCCAAGATAGCACACCTGGCAACTAATTGCATAATGTCCGCCTTTCTTTAAAAACAGTAATTTAGTTAGCCAATAATGGGCAATCAATCAATGTATTGCCGGTTAATCCTTTGAAAGAAGGACGTTGTTTTTACGCAGACACCGACACGACAGAGTGTATTCAGTATAGATTAGTAAATCTACATACATAAACACTACCTTTTGACAATTCCGCTGTGTAAGATAAAAGTAATTAATCAATCAGCGTGTTATCGGTTAATCCTTTGATCGATGTTTATAATGTTGAATATTTACTCCAGACACAAGAAATGCCAAATGGGAACCTTTGTCGGGTAATTTAAGTGTGTTACCACTAATTATACCTGTTATAAATTCATTAACTGACCATCAAGTGAATGATGACAAATAACATGTGTAGGTTTATACCACCTAACACGGGTTACAACAAGGGAGTATTAATTGCTGTATTGCATGTGAAAACTTATGGGCCGACACTGTTTTGAGAATACAAACAGATTTTTACATGACATGATTAAATATCGAGGTAAAAAACCACAGAAATTGGATCAATTTGGATCAGTCATTATACAAATAGGGCCTAACGACACCAATCGATTTTGACAGAATCGTCTATGAAAACAAGTTGTAACTCGGAAACTAGGCAAAGCATGAGACAAAATTAAATGACAGTAGATTGTGAGAACATATAGCTTTCATTTTCCACAACAATTGTCACGATTTCAGGTTTATACAAGCCTGTAAACAAGATAATTTAACCCCTAAAATGTAGATGAATTCTGCACAGGCCCTCCTAGCTATTCCTCATATGACGTCACAGAGTCGCGCCGCTCTGATTGGTTGAAATTTCGTTCGCGGGTGAGAATTGTGCACTGTTGTCAAAAAGGTCGATTTAAGTCAATTAAAGGTCGATATGAGTAGTTTTAATGACGGGGTTTCATTTATAATGATGCGAGTTAGTGATTTACGTATTTTTAACCCCTAGGGTTTATGTGACCTTTAAGATTAGTGGCAGTCATATCAAGCCAAGCAACGACGTGCGAAATCTGGGAATCAAGTTCGACAGAAACATGACGATGAAAACCCATGTCAAGTCAACATGCAGATCTGCCTTCTTCCAGCTATTTACGATCAGCAAGATCAAGAAATACCTTGACAATGACAGTCTGAGGACGGTTATCCAAGCACGTGTCACGTCTTGACTATGGAAATGCCCTCCTCAATGGGACTACTGCCACTGACATCAAACTACTGCAACTGCAACAAGTGCAGAACAGTGCTGCGAGGATGCTGACTGGTACCAAGAGAACTGACCATATCACCCCTGTCCTGAGATCACTGCACTGGCTACCCGTAGAGCACCGCATCACTTTCAAGACGCTTTCTATCACATATTCAGCACTAGATGATGAAAACTCCCTAACCTATATTAAGGACATGTTACATCACTACCAACCCACAACAGCTTTACGATCGGCCGATGATAAACTACCTCATGTTCCTAAAACTAAAACAAAGATGGGCGAAGTGGATCTATGCTTTGCAGTTCCAAAACTGTTGAATGCTCTACCACTGGAAATCAGAAATTGTCAAACAAAAGATTCTTTTCTAACTCATCTGAAGACATATAGTTTTTCCGCTCACTTCAACAAGCGCCGTTGAGCAGTCATGACCAATC